ACTGCATTTCTATCATACCATTCGCGTATTTACTAAATAATTTGTACTTCTTGAGTACTTTCCACTTCTTCGCCGTTCGTTTTTCTTTCTTTCCATCTCATTCATGCACAAATTATTACGTCGAAAAGTGCATCTGTTCGATACCGTACAATGGTTATTACACAATTTCTTTCTCTCTCTCTCTCTCTCTCTCTCTCTCTCTCTCTCTCTCTCAATGGCCGCAACCATTTCGTTCGCTTTACTGATTACATAAATAATTAAAAACAACAACGGAAGAATATTTGTGGTTATTTCCATGTTTTACGTGGCCAAATGTTTCGATTCTAAATCAATGAACTGCAGAGCCATATCATAAATGTCATTGTCAACTTCCAAGCGATTGAATTGCGTGCAATCATTTCCATTCTGGTTGGCATTCATTCAAAGCCATTCAAATGAAAAGAAGATTCATTTCGAAACGAGTCATGCTTACAGTTAATGTTAATGCAGGTTAAGTTCTTTGCTTGATTTTCTTCGGAAATGTGAATGTTCCCTTCATTTGGTTTTTGCATTTATTTCTCTTTTTTTTTTCTCTTCTTCCCATTTACTTGTGAATGATTTTGAATTGAACGAAAATTGAGCGGTACTTTTGCAATTGCTTAAAGTGTTTAATCAGAATTGCTATGTATTCTGTTTTCTTTTTTTCATTCTTCTTTTTTTTCGCTCTTCATTCTGCGAATGCACCGCGTGCAAACACACGATAGAATGTGCTGCTAGTTTAATTGGGCGATGTTTATGCCCATAAATCATGCGGTAATAATAATTTTGCTCGAAATATTCAAAATGAGAAAAATTGCTCGAGATCTTTTCGTCAGTGATTGCAATTGCACTCAGAGCCATAGCATCCAACTTGGCTGACACATAATATATGATTTATGTTACAAAAGCACTTCCTCTTATGAAAGCGCACAAACACACACATACACACTTATCGCGATCTTTTCATCACGTCAACAATTTCAGTGAACTACACCATAAAACGGTTAGAAACCGACACAAGTAGATAGATGTTCGTTGTGTCAAAGGCTTTGAAAGCAAACGAGCGAGAGTAGTGTGTTGTCCATCACGAATGCTTGCAACTGACCGAGAGTGATTTATTGATTTGGCTCGCGCTCGAGTTCAATAGAAGAAAACAAAAAATTGAACTCAAAATCTAATTGTATACCATTTTTGCATCAACTTTGGTCTCGACTTCGTAGTCGGCCACTTTGATTCGGCAATGCATCGAGGGGGGATAATTGATGATAGCCAACTGAGTCTTAATTGAAATTTAATGGAAAATTACTCATCGTGTGCTTTGATCTGTTGTGTGCACAATGAGCATAGCGATATTTGTTTGTGAACGCGACATATATATCGCGGATGGAATATGAATGGAAAAAGATAACGTTTTCGCGTGCTCATTTGAATTTATTGCATTTGTGTGCTGTTGGCCGGTTGTGTGTTGTGTCATTTATTGCCAAGCTGTTGTTGTTGTTGTTGTTGCTGAATGTAACACGCGAATCGATCTCGGTTCAGTTTAAAATATTCTAGAGGGTGATAATGATGACGACGAGGCGACCACGACAAAATCGTTTCCGTAAAACGGAACTTATGTGCGTTAGCAGCACAGAATGAATGGAAATTGAATAGAATAGAATAGAATAGAATGGCATTCTCCTGTTTGTGTCAAGCGATACAAGAATACGGTCATAATTAAAGCCCGCAAAATGTGTGTGTCTGTGTGGATATTGTGACCTCAAATGTTATATAAAATGAATACAAAAAAAATAACCCAAGCCATTTTTACACGAACACTGTACACCAATGAGCGAACTGGTCACATAAAGAGAAATTTGGCTAGCGAAAGATGTGTACGTATATGTATTTGGCTACCAAAACACGATGCGTGTCAAGACACTTCGTGCTCATTCTCTTCCGTTCACTCGTCAATTAAACTTGCATTGTGCGATAAGTTGCGCATTTATTGTACCTATTCGCTAACGTGTCTTAAATTATTATTATCTATCGAACGACGACCGAGTTAGCGCAAAAAAAACCGAAATTCTCGCATTCAGAAAATTGTTATTTCATATGCCATTTCATTCTTAGGCATACGAATTTTTTTCTTTTCTTATTCAACTATTAACTTTTGTTCGTCGTCGTCGTCGTAGCCGTCTTGAAAATTATAATAGATGAAATTAATGAAATGAACAAAACGAAAGGATGCTTTGCTAATGATGTGGAGAGTGGGCGGCATGACAATCACTAAAAAAAACGTACCATACATCTTTTGGATGGGAGAATCCAGCGATAGAATTGTGAGTGGAAAGAACCGAATCATAAAAATTGTGCTGCGTGGCCCCTTCATACGAGCACTCATGATTCATGCGTATTGTTATTCAATTGTCCGGTGAAATAATTCAATGACAGCAGCATCAGCAGCAGTAATAACAAATGTAGAACACAAGAAGCTCAAAGTCGGCTCGTTAGATTGCACTTAATCTCATTATATTTCCTTTGCCGCTTGTGTGTGTATGTGCGTTTGTAACGCGCCCATAATTTATGAAAAGAAAACAACACAGCTGAAAAGATGCGAGACAAATTGAAGAAATCGCACAACGGACCGAACACCAGATAAACGGAAAAAATTATTATTTTTGCAGCCACGTCATCATTCTTGTTAACATGTCACACGCCGATTAATAAATTTTTTGTTGCTCTTTTCGAACATTTCAAACAGACAAAGAACGATGAGCCACAACAACCGAACGTAATGACAACGACGACGACGTCGACGAAATAGAAAAAAAATACAACATCATCATGTGTTTATGATCGTGTGAACATTCAAATGATTTATTTTGAAGTTTACCAAACTTATAGCAGATAAACCCACCGAATGTGCATGGCATGCTCAACAAAATATGTATTTGCGATTCGTTAGAGATTCGTCTCTTGTTCTCTCTCTATCTCGCTCATTCGATTCATAATCGCTGAGTTTTCAATTCGAACGGAAGAGAATCTTCTCGGAGTGCCCACCATAACAAGCGCACCGAAAGCCAAACCAACGAAAAATTTCAAATTAACGAGCCTCTTCATCATCATTGCGTTTTAACAATTTTCAGGTGAATTACGGTACAAAGACAATGTATGTGTGCGTGCGCGCGCGCGGTTCACAGTTTGAACAACATGAGATTGTTCTTTCTGATTGCTTGGGCATGGGCATGGCCATAGCCATGGTAAGCAATCCAGCTAACCGAGCCAAACCACATAGAGCACATACAGTTCCCAAATAATTAAATGGTAGGCAGTGGATAATAGTCACAGTGGCGGGTACATTGTAAATTAATGCTTTATTCCGAGCTTTTTTCTCCACCACTTCGTTTATTTAGTTTTGTTTTATTGAAATCTCTCTCTCTCTCTCGATCGCATCGCTCAAATTAATTTAATCAACAAGAATCACATGGATTTTCTATCTTTCTCTGGTGACTCTCGTAATTTACTTTTTTGTTTTCTAATTTACCAATTGCGACGAAACCATTCGATCTCAATGTGAAAATCTAATTTCACTCAGTTCAGATTGTATGGAAGAAACAATCAGCAAAAATTGTTCACCGTTGATCAAGAAGGTCGAGTCATTGAAACGAAAATGATAATGATGAAAGAAAGCAAGAATGTGAGGCAAAAGAAAAACAAATTCTTCGTTGCTAATTGATTGCGGATCCCGTGAAATGTTTTTGCTCGTTTGTTCGTTCTTTCTACGCTTCTTTTTTCGTCGCGCCGATTCGGTTTTTGCATTCTAATCGCAAACGAATGCGATCGCGATCGCGATCGCTATTTTGATACTATTCTGATTTTGAGTGGGATGTTATCCAAGAACCGGTTCTTCGTCGTTTGGCAATTCTTCCACATTTTTTTTTTATATAATTAACCTAAAAACACACATAAGCGTAAAGAGGCGCCGTACTCCATATTCTAAGCCAAATCGTATCGTCAATATTCTGGCGATTTACATACATATAAACACAAATCAAAATCGGTAAAACCAGGCACAGCACATCACATCACACAAGTGTGCTTCGACTGGTCCGGCTCTAGCTCTCGCTATAGATTGATCTTGGCCGCGATTGTGTGCGCGAGTATCATAACGATGGTTTAAAATGTCTAAATATATTTTTTTGTGCTCATTTTTACATTTTTGCACGGTGTTTTGATAACGGGTTTGAATGCATCTGAAACTGCGAATGCGAACACATTGCCAGAGATCGAAACAAGACACATATATATATATATATACACGCTTGAGACATGCGATAGACACAAGAATGAAACGTTTTCGCAACGAAAAATTGATTAATGAATTTCATTTGACGATCCAGGTATTAAATGTTGAAGATTAAAATTGCGGCACAGGTTTTAATTTCATATTTGACACACATCCCGAATGGGTATTGCGTTGAAGTGAGCACAAGTGTGGCTCTGTAACCATAATCGCATCGTTTTGATCGAACATATATTTATTGTGTTCGAAGAAGTGGTGAGGCATATTTTGCTTTAGTTTACCAAGCGAACAGCCGAACGAACGAAAAAAAAGACACACACACACACACAAACCAATGTTGAAAAGAACGGAACCGCGCGGCGCACATCGTCCAATGTGATTACGGGCCGATCGTTGAGATTTGTTGCGCGCAATTAGAACCGATTGAATGCATGTTTTTGCGATTTATTGCCATTCAAGTTCTATTGCACACATTCTTCGGCATTTCGATTCGATTTTTGATGTATAATTCTTCTCTCTTGCGCGCGCATTCAAAACCTCTAACGAAAGACAATACCAACAATAACCAAAGATTTAAAAAAAAAAACAAATCTATCCCGATATTCTTCAATTCCGTTCGATGGAAATTGTGTACGGGATGGTTGTAAATTGTGAACTGCATCAAACGGCATTACAGCTAAATTAACACAAAACCTACCTTTCAACCTCAAGTTTTGTTGTTGAAATCAAGCGGTACGCACCAAACGCCGTGTTCCGGAAACCTGAAAATGCCCATAACAAACAGAATGAGAAGAAATATTAGAACTCATTGAAAGATAAGCTTTTGCAATACGTTAGACGATTAGTTTCAGAGCAAAACGATGAAGAAAAAAAACAACAACATTATATTTTATTTCTAAAACAAAACCACGGAGAGTCAGTCGACAGCTGCGATCTATATCGCGCCGTTTTATTGATGCATTAAAACGATTTAGTTTACTATTGCTGTTGAGCTTAAATCATTTCGCAATAAATAAAAACAGATTGCCATCACGGTTAAAGGTGACCACCGTTGTAATGGACACCTTGAAAATTGTGTTGCTGGTACTCTTTCTTAACGATTTGTTTTTTTCTCCTATCTTGCAAAATTCAACGCTCGATTTTTACGTTACACTTCTTAATTTTGCTTTCTTTTTTTCCCCTGCTTGCATTTTTTCGTTTTCATTTAGAGCACACTAACATTGAGTGACCTGTTGCACTATGTGGTTGTTATGCGTCTTGTTCTCTTTTTTTTTCGTTTCATTTTGTGATCAGCGCACACGCTGTCGAAAGTCCCATTTTATCGCCACGCTTGCCACATATTTTCACATTCAAAAGCACAAATTCTGAAGATTCCCACAGTCGTGATTTTTTTTTTATTGCATGCAGCACTAGTGAATGTGGACAGTCTACTTCCATAGAATCACGTAAAACAGAACAAATGTTAAAATGCAATGCTGGTCGCATTTGAAAATGAATCGTCCAACATATTCAAAAAACTAACAAGCACTCGCTGAACTTTTTTCGACCGCTTTCGGTTTGTCGTGCGGCGAGTAAATGAAGGTAAAATCTGAAATGGTCCCATTTCATTGCATTATTATGAAGCGGAATGCTTAATGAATAAGTAAACACACACACACACACAGAGTTGCCGGACCGCGTTGTTGCGATTATAATGCAGATGGCCTAATAACGTGTTAAATGTCGGCTACCCGAAAAAAACAAATCAACAAACTACTATGAAATGCGTAATCGTTGCCGAAACACAATGCAAACCCGATTTTCATCATCTTTTTCTTTGTTTGCGCGACAGAATTTCTTTCTTTCCATTTCTTTTGTTTATTCGACGTCTTTAGCTTTTTTCAATCTATCCGGATGGCTATGATGATAATGGCAACGTCATCTTAATTGTCGCCGAAAATAATCGCGATATTTTATTGCATACATTCTTCTCACTCTCTTTAGATTTACGGGCTCTGTTGGAATACACAAGAAACCAAATCAAATAATAAAATTCTGAACAAAAGCAAAAGGTTAGGCTCGTTTTGCACACATAAAAAAAGAAAAAGTTCATTGTTCAGTCAAGTTACACTCGAAAAAAAAAAATAGAACTTTCAAATGAAACAAACACATTGAAACATCGAGTGAAAAAGTGCTCTCTGTGCAGTGGCACACAATCAAGTCCAAGATTGAAAATGAAAAAAACATGTTTGTTTTACGCGCACTGTACACGTGACCCGTTCTGATGAAAAAGAAGAAGAAGAACACGACGACGACGAAAAAAACTAAATAACAAAGAGAGCCAACAAATTTTTTTCTCATTTCAAAATGAACTTAACGAAAAAGGTTTCAATTTAACTTTAGAGACTACATGAGATTCTCTATACTGGCATTTTTCCTCACTTTCCTTCACGTTTCCATTCCTTTTGTCATCGTGTCGGTTTTTTTTGTTAAATACAAATAGCATTTTTTTTACTTCTTTTTCTTCTCTCGTTTAAATGAGGCTTGGAGGGCCCGACAGAAGAATGGTAAAAAATGAAAGCATATAATAATTTTGACAGTTATTAACGCCTGTTCATTCGGTTCGTTGAAATGCACACTTGTAATTATGCCATGCAAATTTGACGGCGCACGATAACCGCATGCCAAACATTTAACATGTATAAATATATCGTTCTTTTGGTTCCATTGTGTAGACCGGTTGGAAATGGTTCAAACATTTGATGAAATTCTTTTCATTTTTTTTTATTGTCTTCATTCCAAACAGGCCAAACAGGCCAAACTGAATACTGTCACTCTCACCCTTTCGCCAATGAACCTTTTGGCTTTGCCTAATTCGTTGATGCCAACTTTTCTCTTGCAAGAGATAAAAAAGCGTCGACTTTTTTTCGCATTAGAAATCGTTAGGGATTGAATAGGAGGAATTTATGCAACGGTTGATTTGGCGAAAAAATTTAACCCAGTTTTGAATGAATCTCTTGCAAACAACACATACATAACACCGAAAAAGAAACAACAAACCTCAACGAGAAAAAGAGAGGCGTAAATAAGCCGACAAACTCATTTCATTTTGCGATCAATAACCAATTGCAGTTAGCTGAATAATTTTCTAAACAACGATAACCATAATGTAAACAGAATGAGTAAGTGAATATTGTGGCAATGGAATGTCTATTCGATACTGGTGCACCAGTCGGCTATGTGGTCGGCTCGGCACCGCCGATATTCGATGAATACGATGTTGTTGATGATGATGATGATGAGGAGGATTTTTGAGGTGAAAAACGAAACGAAAATAAGTGCATCATGGTAATTTAGAACAGTGTGTTGTATCATATTTTATGCACATCACCAAATAATGCTACCGATTTTACTCCTGTAAATACTTAATGGTTATTGATATTATTCCACAAATACAGTTGCAGCATGGTGTAGCTGCTGAAGCAGCAGCATTAGCATTGGCAACAGCAGCAGCAGCAAGTTGGGCAAATCCTCCTCAACTTGATACAAAAACAATAATAACAGTTCATCAGCACACTCACTCACTCGCATCTTGTGTTGCTCGCTCGCTCACTCGCTCGTTTGCACATTTACTCACTCGTACACGCCAGTGTGCCGTATCGCAATCGACAGGCAGTGTGCTCAGCGCACTGCACCAGGCAGATGCATGGTAAAATCAGCAACCCGAAACCAATGCAATATTCGGTTATTCGACTATATGTGTAACACTGACGATACTGACAAACATAAGCAATAAGAATTATTACAGCGTTACAAATAATAAGGTCAATAAACAGTAAATAACAGAATGTGTGCTGTTGCTGGTGCTGCTGCTGCCGTCGTCGTCGTCGCTGCTCTTGCTACTTCTTCTTATTGCCTAGTCAAGTTGGCAAAGCCATTGTGCGGCCGTGTTGTTGCCGTAATTTATTGTAGCCGTGATGTCGTTGATGCATTCTTCTAATTCCGTTTTACGTTTCACTATTACTATTCCATTCACAAGCCACATTAGCTTCGATGCGACTACATGTGTTTTGTGTTTTATGTGTACCAGTTGCGCATGTCGATGCGCTCGCATTGTCTCTGTATGACAATCAGTTTAACGCTAAAAACACATTGCGGAAGCGAGAGCAACACACAGAGAGAGAATGAGCTTTTTTTATGTTCTTCGCACACATCTATTACGCTTGACATCGATTTTGTGGGTAAAACACAAAGGAATTGCCTTTTGAAACTCTTTAATCATATGATATGGATCAAAATGTCCGAAATTCATTCGTTCGATTTTGATCGTGCATCGGTCATTGAATTCGAAAATCAATAATGACCCTTCGCGGTGAGGACTGCACGTGCACATGCACATGGAATACAAATGACGACGACAATCCCAGCTCACCGACCATGTCATTGTCATGGGGCAAAGTTATTCAGATGTTGTCGTTACCTAAGTTGGAGAAAATCATGCATAAATCGAATAAATCGAAATGTAAGTGAATTTAGTAGGTCGAATCGGGCATATGATGAGGGAATCTCGTTTCTATGGTTGCGTTTTATATGCGCGCGCGCGTTATGTTGCTTGTGGTTATTTTTGTTTTCATTTAAAATACGAGTGTGTCGAAAACCGTCGCCGGCAAACAGCCATCGCATTCGATTAGAATGGTAAAGTAGTACGGCCCATAATAATATTTGATATCCAGATAATTTGCATACATTGAATGTTATGAACGTCGAACGAGTAAAAACGAAAAAGAAGAAGAGAAGAACGAAAAAATTATGCGCACATGTGGGACAAGCTGGAATGACAATATGGAAACGAAAATGCATATATTGGTCGCTGTGCGTTATTGTTGCTGTTGTTGCTAGTTTCATAAGAATGAAGCTTCATTAGAGTATTGCCGGGATTCGATTGTGAATCGAGAGAGAGTTACATTAGAGTGCGCGCACGAGTCATGTACGCACCAGAATAGAGCGAGTGAACGAATGCGTGCCTCATCGATAGCAATTGTGTGATTGCAATTACCATTCTGTCGATGCATCTCAATTTTACTCAATTTCCAATGGTTTAAAACCAAAACGACACAAAACAGAAAATTATTACTACGCTGAAATTCGGTTCATAGATAATAAGAACGAATATAATTTGTTGAATGCAATTGATTATTCCACGTTCCGTGTTGCCGATTTCATTTGTCACACATTTCGCCGACAATTCGTGCGCATGTGTGTTTGTATGTGTATATGTCTGTTGTCTGTGGCACAATCGGAAGAAACATCCGAGCAAAAATGTTAAAACGCGCGAGATCGCAACATTCTTTTGGTATAGCAAACTCAAAATCGAATTGGACTACAGCAAAGCCTGATTTCTAATGAACTCGAATACTTGATTCTTTGGTTTTACCTTGTATAGAATGTCGAATTGTGTGCATGTTTGTGTGTGTTGTGTTCAATTGTAGTGAGGCAGTGAAAAAAACGACGAAAAAAAAAAAAAAAAACACGGCAGTACGTGAATTGCTGCGACATTGACAATTGAACCATAAATTGATTTTCAAGTGCCATTTAACGTATGGTACAATATAATAACAATAAGCGCAGCCGCCTTTCAACGCAAAGCTGAGCTGAACGGAGAGAGAGAGAGAGAAAGAAGAGGTATACGGGGAAAAAAGCGCAAGCAATTGCCAATTTGATGGAAATTGGTGTGTACAATGGATGTAAGCTGGCACATTAGAACTATGCACAGCCTATTTTGCT